TCTGCATCCCTGGTTAGGAGCCTCAATCTCTCCAATTGAATAGGAAACTACATGCATCGATGCTGGTTATGTTAAGTACGCCTTTATCTGCCAACTTTATTGGTTAAGTTGCAACCACCACTCGATGTTTGATGACCAAAAAATGGCAATTTATTGCAACTGATCTCCCGAAACGAAAATGCTTGTTGGTTATGCCGCATTGTATTTCATTTATCTTTGTTTTTGTGGTGTATCGCATCAAGAGTTATATTGCAGTGGTTTCTGAAATATTTGTCTCCGGGTGACAACTTAGACAGTTGCAAACATGGTCGGCGGCAGAAAAGCCATTTTTTCAAGTCACATTGCGGGCTAACATTGTCAGGCCTGATCAGACCTATGACCCCACATTTCCAGCAACGTGATTAGCTACTTGGGCGGGTTGGGCATCCGTTTTTTCTCACCACTGTGTTCGACCCGGACGACCCGTCTCGCCGGTTATACATGTATTTAACTTTTCCCATCACATACCTACAAAATTCTACCAAAAAACGGTGATGGCGCTTGAGGCGAAGGAGAAATTGAACCCGAGTTTCATGAACTGGCAGACGGTTGCCAACGGAAAGTACACAAGTGACGCTACGACACTGAAGAACTCCAGATCTTAAACATCCAGCTGTGGGAGACCTTTCTGACGTCATCAAAGGATGCTTGTTGTATGCCATTTGGCTCATTCCAAAATGGAATGACAACTGTCGACATGATGTAATGACTCTAATACCAAGATGCAACCTGGCATCACGGTTTGTTCTTTTTCAAGGCCAACAATGTTGTACGTCAACTGAAGTAGCCAGCTAACGTCAGCCACAAAGCGAGGTACTCAGCCAACACCGATCACCATGTGACGCACTCAGGCAGCAATGGTCACCAATTTAGGCGCCGCCAGTGCTGTAACCACACTTCACAATTCATCGCAAAATATCAAGACAACGGCTCTAAACCTGGGCCTGCCAATGGACATTGAGTGAGCCAACACACTGCGCCGCAACGAGCATCCTCCATGTTTTGGAGACTCATCGGCGTAAGCTGAGAACTACCACAACGCACCAGCTTTGTTTCCATGCACCGTAGAGGTGTGCTGCACATGCTGAAGGTGTCTACCGGGTACTATGGAAGCAAACTGCACGGGTGTGAACAGGAAAACACCAGAACGCTGCAATGACACTTGAAGCTCAGTTTTCACATCAACATGAGGAATCTCTACAGGTCAAAAGCTTTGTTTTTTGTGACTTATGAAGACCTGTCGCGCATTGTGATAGTGTCTTCCAGGTACTTTGGAAGCAAACTGCACGGGCGTGAACAAGAAAACGGCCGAACACCACACGAACACTTGAAGCTCAGTTTTGACACCAAACGGCTTCAACCGCTTTGACAGCTGCAGAAAACAACAGAGCTCCAACCAACAATCTCAGGCTTCAGCGGCAGTAGCCCACGGCAACAAGGCACACTTAACAATACTACAATATCCCGAATAGCTCAGTTGGCTAGAGCACCTGCCTTCCGATCCGCCCATCTGTGGCGGGGTGGGTTCGGGTCGTTACAGAGGCGCTAGCTATTTGTCCGTGAAAGTATAGCCTGCGACCGGTGGCAGCGGCCGCGACAAAGGTCAGGTGACTTCGTAAGGCAGGGCGGACTGTGCCGAGCATTGTGGCACGTTAAGCTTTCGCCAGCATACTCTGCCGCTGACCTGGAATTGCGCTGCCGAATGGTACGGTCAGGGCTCACACAACAAGCACTGCACAAGCACATGAACTCTGATCCCAGCAACCCACCCATTCAAAAATGCTCTCACTAAATCTTAAAAAACGGCAACCTCCTTATACTTGCCACTCCGCCAGATGCCACTCGGCGGAAGAGCCAACCAATCACCGTCTTGTGTCAAGCGCCGGCGGCAGAGTTCAGCGCGCCCCACTCCCACTCATCGCAGGGCGCAGCTCACTCGCCATTTGGTCCCACGTCATGCGTGCTCGAGTGTGCATGCCGGCGGCGAATGTTGCTCAACAGCCGGTGCAGCACGTCGCCCTCCTGGATCGTCTCCACGTCCCATCCAACGGCCGGCAGCGAGGCGCGCCGCGGCCGCCTCGCGTGCCGCACCACCCTCGTTGCTCGTGGGCCCGGCTGCGTCGCGCTCACCGCCTCCTCGTCCAGGGCGAGTAGGGTCAGGTCACCCTCGACCGGCGGCCGCGCAACCACGAACGTCATGGCCGAGAGGGAGGGCCGCCTCCTGTCGGCCGTCTCCGGCGAGCCAGGCGTCGGCGGTGCCGCGTCGAACGGCTCCAGCGAAGGCGCGTTCATGAACGACGGCTGGAGCGGACGGGAGAGCAGCAGCGGCAGCACAGGCTCGGAGGCGCGCCGGCCAGCCAGCCGCGATCCCACCGACTCGATGCGCGGAAGCGCGAGCTCCGACGGCGCACGCGGCGGTGGCGACTCAGCCGGACCGGCGACGGCCTCGCCTCCGGCGGAGGAGATGCGCGTGATAGACCAGCGTGAGCTGTCGGGGGAGCCGAGATCGCCGCGGCGCGACGTGCAGCGCCGCAGCAGCTGACGCTGCCGGGCCGACAGCTCGCGCAGACGCTCCATCAGGCTGTCGGCGTCGCCATCGGACGGTACGTCGGCGGCGGGGACGCTGCCACTGAGCTGCGGCAGCTGTGTGGTCGACGGTGGCGGTGGAGGTTCGTCGTTCCACGGGCCGGATGATGGCGAGGGCAGCCCCTCGGACACGTCCTTGGCCGGTCCGGCCGAGAATGGTCCGTCGCTGACGGGCCGTGATTCGAGGTCGCCGTCCCACGGCTCCTGCTCCTCCTCCTGCTCTTGCCGCTGTTCCTGCTGACCCTCCGACTGCACCCCCGTCTCTGTTTGGAGGCTGTGCACGCGGGAGCGGCTACGGCCGCAGCAGCACAACAGCATCACTCCCCACAGCTCCGCCAGCAGCCGCGCTGCCTGGCACGAAGCCAGCGCAAACAGCACGACCAGCAGCTGCGCTGTGGCGACGGCGAGGACGGCGCCGGTTTGTCGCCGCCCGGACACCAGGCGCGCCATCTCCAACACGATCGCCAGCTGTGCCGTCACCAGGCTGCCGATCAGCAGCGACAGCGCGCCGGCCAGCAGCACGCCGCTGCTGCGCCAGGCGCCAGTGGCCAGCAGCGCCGCGCCCAGCAGGTTGACGCTGCTGATGAAGACGGCGGCACTCGCCTGCTGCCGCCAGCCGCCGCCGGCCGCCAGCTGGCCGGCGCTGAGACCCAGCACGACGCTGTTGGAGAGAAGGAGGCCGCCGCTGATGGCCAGGCAGCAGGGCCGCAGCGGCAGCGAGTAGCAGCAGCGCCGACCGGCGCCGCTGCCGACACGGGTCCTCATCGGATGGAGCGGGAGGTCGAGGTTGGTCAGAGCCCGTGAATGTCTTTGGGTCAAAGCCTATGGTTTAGGTTATTCACCAGGTCGGCGCCCTTGCTCACTTTGAAGCAGTGTGGACGATTGCGACACCGACAGCTGAAATCCGTCTGTAATTTATTTAAGGTGTGGCCGCAAAAACTGTAAAATTTCCCGTACAAAGTGATGGCTAGTGGCTTCTCTTACTTGCTAGCGAACTACATAGCCAGCTTGCTCTGTGGGTTACCACGTTACGCGAGACCTGTCGGGCTCGTCCTTGAAAAGATGCTTCTAATGAGCTGCACCACCACCGTGTCGCAAGACCTTCCGAACGTTGTTGCCAGTTTCGAGGCCACTCGCCGTCAGGTCACACGCACCGGCAAAGGTCACAGGGGTCACACACATTCGAAGGTCACGCACGCCCAGGACGCGCACTCAGGGGCCAGAAGCGCATGGTCCAAATCCGACGACGCTGTGATGATGAGTATGACGATAATGACGTTGACAACGATGTCTCTGCACCCACTGACACCACTTCTGCTAAAGTCTTAGCCTGCGGCCGCAGGAGCCTCTGCACACTTCTGGCAAGCAGCGTATCTTGCCCTTCCGTTTGCATTAGGTCGCCCTGGTCACCGCTTCACGAACTTCCGTGCATCTACACCGCTGCTGGGTACGGGCGCGCCACCGTCCCACGCCGCTCCGAGCTCCACACGCACTGCTGCTGCTGCGCCGCGCACTGTCCCACCACCGGCCGCCGCCGCCTCCGTCGCACACCGCCTTCAGCCCCTCCGAGCCGCATCCGACCCCGCTCCGTGGCGTGGCCCGGCGCCACCCTCCCCGCCGCGGCCTGGGCATGCCGTTGCCCGGCGGTTGCCAGAGAGGTCCGGTCAACACACGCCGCCGGTCCGCCGCGGTCGATCGACGCTCCGCGATGTAACCGACCGACCCGGGGAACCCACGCCAGCGTACAGCGCATGAAGGGTGTAATGGCAGGTGGCACGTACAAACGCGACGCAGTTGAGCTTGAAATGGTCTGCGAGTGAAAGATGCGGCAAACGCTTTCCAGGAGTTGTGTTTTTAACATTGCTTTACGACTGATGCATTTCCATTTGAGGCTAGTTCAGCGCCCCGTCCGATCTGTCGTCACCACGATTGTCAGCTGAAATGCGTGACGTCATGCGTGCTGACGGATCGTTCGATGCATGGGCTGACCAGAGAGTTTTTTAACGTTACTTTCCCTTTTACTTTTGCCTTTTAACTATTTCAGATACTAATACTGGCTTACCGCCGAACATGACACACTTCCTAAAAAGTGGTCTTTACGAGTGTGGATGCTGCTGTGATATTACTATCATCTGTCCCACCGGTAAGTTCAGTACTTCCTCCTATTCCCATCTCATTTCAATTTCTGCAAGCTGTCTATAGATCGAAAAAAACATCAAAGAAACAGTGAACTGTCTGAAGAGATCTCGTGATTGGTTAGAAGTCCCCTGTTGTTCATAGATCCCGCTAGGCCACGTCGAAGATCAAATTTTCTTTTCTGAAAAACAAGCATCGGCTTTACATGGTCATATATACAAAACATGCAGTGTAGTGACATGGAAGGTAAAGAAGCGTGTGACTTGTTCAATCAAAAATACAATGGCATGTAATTTCATCTGTTCCAAGCTTCTATTTATAACGCACGGTTTCGTTTATGTACCAGTGCCAACCCTCCGCGAGCAGTCCGCAGAACTGTCGCTTGCCGCCCGCTGCACTCGCCGGCCTTGAATCGTCTTGCAATGCTTGTAAAAACGGCGCTACTCTGAAACCACAATTACTAGGGACGCCTATTTTAGTGTCAACACGCGTGCAATGGATGCCTCAGAGGCCGCTAGAGCTGTTGAGCGAGACTGCGCGATATGCCGCATTGGCATGTTCAGAAAACTGTAAGGGTGGGGCGGGGGGTGTCGTATCACCCCCTCCCCCTCCTGTCAGGGAGAGCAGCTTGTTCAGAAAGAGCTGGCCGCCTGATGTAAGGTTATTAGCAAATTTAAATACAATTTGCTTGTTGGGCACGGCGAAAGGCGCCCACCACGCAACACATGTTGCGACAGGCCTGGAGCATACCTAGGGCGTGCTTTGAATAGTTAGTGTTTCGGTCTTTTTTCATGAAGAGAAGGCATTGCTATGAGTCTCCACGCTCGTGGGCGAGTAGATGCTTTTTAAGTCCTGATGGATGTCTACCTGGAATGAAATTCCCCGTTTTCATCTACCATGAGCCTCGGTTTTTCCAGCCGTTTTTTTCCAGTGCTACAGAGACGGCTCACACCATGTGCAGCACGCGACTAATTCGTAAAAAGGTTACGTTTGGGTTAGAATTCTCTTAGCGTGCACATTTGATTCGCACACCTTGCGTAAATGCTCCAGCAGCCGTCCACGGAGTTGTCTCGCTCCCCCAAATAGCAAAGCTTTGCGCGCCTCTGCATGACTCTGACGGTGGAATTTCCAGGCTGTAGCCCGCGGCGCACAGAGTTGCGCCATCCGATCAGTTGGGCGGCGGCAGGAGCGGCGGCCGGGCCGTGAAAGGCGTTTGTTCCAACCTACAAATGGGTGTCGGTGTGCGCGCGCAGCTCGGGGCTGTGCTCCTGCTGACGCTGACGGCGTGGCTGGCGGACGCGGTTCCCACAGCCAACAGCAACCGGCCGGACATTCTGCCGACGGACTGCGGCCGCCGCCTTGTGCGGCCAGACGAGGCGCTCCGACCGTTCATAGTCGGGCCGGGCAACACCACCGCCTATTATGGCCAGTACCCGTGGCAGGCGCGGTTGGTGATGTACGATGCCAAAGTGAAGGGCTACGTACATCAGTGCGGAGGCATCATTGTCTCGCAGGAACACGTGGTGACGGCCGCCCACTGCGTGGTTGAGGTGGCCCCACGTCGGCTGCTGGTGCGTGTCGGAGACCTCCGATTTGACGACCGCGAGCTGTTTGAGCAGGAGTTCGCCGTCGCCAGCTACCACGTGCACAGCCGGTTCGGCGTGGGTGCTGGCTTGCCCCACGACGTGGCCCTGCTGCGGCTACGTCGCCGCGTCGGACCCGGCATCGAGTTCGGCCGCTACGTGCAGCCGGCCTGCCTACCGGCAGCCGGCACCAAGTACGAGACGTTTCTGCCGTGCGAGGTGTCCGGCTGGGGCCGCATTGCGGACCTTGCGCCCATCTCGGAGGTGCTGCGCGGCGTCTCGGTGCCGCTGGTGTCGGACGCCTTCTGCGGCGCGCCCGAGGTGTACCAGGACCGCTTCCTGCCCGGCGCCATGTTCTGCTC